CATGTCATTTGTAGAAAAAATGTATGAAACCAGAAACCATAATTTTAAATGAAATAAGCCAGACACAGAAAGAAAAATTGCTCACACTTGCTGTTATATGAATAACGAAAACACATGCTTTTTAGATTGCTTACTTGTTTTTCAAACAAAGCAGAATTTAAGCACCATGAAAGAAATACACATGCATACACTATGGGTTCAGGACCACAAAGTTTAGCTAGCTTTCAACAATAAAGATCCATTTGATTATCAACTGTCCCATTACATAGCTAAAGAATCTTCTAGGTACAGCCAGGTCTCCGGACTCTTGCGCAAACGCTGCTTGGCCTCCGGCGCTGGGCCGTCCCGCATGACCCTTTGCGGCACCCATCGCGCCCCTTAGAGTCGCACGTCACGTCACGTCACGTCACATCACGTCACACCGCACCGTGTCACGCCACACCGCGCCACAACCACCCGGGAAGAAGAGAAGCTGAGAGGCCATCTTAACCACCATGCCGAAGAATAAAGGTAAAGGAGGCAAAAATAGACGCCGGGGTAAGAATGAGAATGACTGTGAGAAGAGAGAACTGGTGTTCAAAGAAGAGGGGCAGGAATACGCGCAGGTCATCAAGATGCTGGGGAAAGGACTGCTGGAGGCGATGTGCTTCGATGGCGTGAAGCGGGTGTGTCACATCCGCGGGAAGCTGCGCAAGAAGGTGTGGATCAACGCCGCCGACATCATCCTGGTCGGCCTCCGCGACTACCAGGACAACAAGGCCGACGTGATCCTCAGGTACAATGCGGAAGAGGCGCGCAGCCTGAAGGAGTATGGCGAGCTGCCCGAGCACGCGAAGATCAACGAGACCGACATCTTTGGCCCCACCTTTGGCCCCGGAGACGACGACGAAATCCAGTTTGACGACATCGGGGACGTCGACGACGACCTTAACTACCTGTGAGTCGAGGCCGCGCCGGCCTGGCAGGCTCCGCGGCGGCCGGGGCGGGGGCCTCTGGGGGCGCGCGAGGCCCATTGCACGCAGCGTGGCGGTGCGCTCCGGTTGCAGGCTGGCTTCTGTGCGAGCTGTCTTCCCGGCTGCCTGCGGAGCGCCCTCTGGCCTTGTGAGGCGACCTAGCTGCGGATGGAAGACCGCGCAGCTTCCGCGGCCCGCCCGGCCGCCCGCCCGCCCGGCCGCCCGGCCGCCCGCCCGGCCGCCCGGCTTCGCGGACTCCCGGCTTCGGGGACTTCTGGCCTCCTGGCCTCCCGGCTTTGTGGACTCCAGGCCTCCCGGCCTCCCGGAACTAAACGGTGTTGCTAACGAGCCGTTCACCTTATGTTCATTTGGGGGCCAGCCCTGACATGGACTGACGTGTTGGCTGTGCGGAGCCGGCTGTGTGTTCCATGACCCACGTGTTCCGTCCCGTTCTCCATACGGGTTTTTGTTAACCGGGGTTGAACTGGGAACCTTGTGCCAGCGCGGGCAGACGCTTATGCCCTTGAGTTGTTTCCCCGGCCTTCTGGACAATTTAAAGGAGCCTAAACCTGCGTTTGAATTTTTGAAAATAGTAGGCTTATTTTCCATATATTAATTTCATGTGGCTACTCATACTAATTTTGATATCATTACATTGTTTTCGTGATTGTACTTTGCCATCATATATGTATGGACTGGGAAAGCATTCCCCAAATGTAGTTTTTAGAACCTGGGTTTTAATAGTTTTAAATTTGCAAGGTTATTGTAGAAATTAAACACTAGGTGGCACCCACTTAGTATTGGTACAGTTGTTGAGGCATTTTGTGTTCTTAATTGCTGTGCATGGAAAACTCCCCAAACAAGAAAATACTGGTTGGTCGTATGTATATAGGCTCTTTTTACAAAACAGAAATAGTTGCTTGAAAACGTTATTTTCAGAAGTCATTGGTGCAGTGGCAGTTGTGCGTGCTTTATAAACATTTCACTAAGGACTGGGGTACAGCTCAGTGAAAAGGCCCGAGGTTCAGTCTTCAGGACAGGACTGGGAAGAAACAAAAATGGTCTCTAGCTTTGGAATGGAAGAGAGCTACCCTGAAAAATAAAGTACGCTGTAGTTTCACCCAGTGATGAAGTTTTGTAGCGTAGGACATCGGTATCAACCTCTCTACTCACCTTTCTATACTTTCTAAACCTAAATGTTCAAGAAGCCTATTCTCTTTCCCTCCCCACCCCAAAATTTGCTGACACTTAGAATAAGAGTGTTAGCCTTTGTATTAATGGAAGATTACATCGTGGTTAAAAACGAAGGGGGAGGGGAAAGGAGAGTAGTAAATTGCAACAGGTGAACTTGTATTGCTCTCTAGATGGAAAAAATATGTATAAAAAGGTATGGATTAATTGTGAAATAAGACTTCTTGGACAAGCGCAAAAAATAAACCCTTTTGCAAGCTGGAACTCATTGTTCGGTGTGAGTTTGTGTATGCGTAAGAAGGAGCATCACTTCCAGGAGCCGGTATGAGTGCTGGTGCTGGGTCTCCAGGCAAGATGGAGGAAGCTTCCCTGAACAGTGACAGAGCCTCAGAAAGCAAGCAGAGAAAACTATGATAACTTAATGCAGAGTCGCACGATGGAAGGTACTAATTACTAGTACATTTTGTTCTGAGAGTAAAGTTAATTATAAAGCACCAGATAGGAAAAAAAAAAATCTCAGCTCCTACCTGGTCTGCTATTCGAATTTCTATGTTGAGCACACAGAGACAGCTTTTTTTTGTCTTAAAGTCTTCTCTTTGAACATGGGTGTGGAGTCAAAGACATGTCTTACTGTGTTGGATCTTGTTTGTTTAAGTGTAAGTAACATCAAATTAAAATTTGCACAGGTTTTTTTTTTCTTTTTTGCAGAACCGGGGATTGAACTCAGGTCCTTGTGCTTGCCAGGGAAGCGCTTATTCCAGTGAGACATCTCCCCGACCCCTCCACAGGTTTTAATAAAAGATTATTAGCTTTCTTTTGAAAAATGATTCAGACAGAGGTAAGGCCATTTTACTATGGCCTATATATGTTATACATATTACATGAAATTGCTAATTTTAGGTATAAAACTGCGTGACTGTAGAAAAAATGTATTCTTTCAGGATGTTGTTACAACACTAAAATGGAGAGGAAGTGCTGCTGTGGTTCAGGTTGTGCTGCAAAAGTTCATTTGTGAATTTTAGCCCCCAAAACCTGATGTGATTATGTAGAAAAGTTCATTTATTCTTGGGAGCTATGAGGTCACAAGAGTAACAAGAAAGTGGAGGTGACATTCCTGTGTCTCAAATGTGTCCTGCAAAGCTAATGTGTGGGATGTTTGGAGTGAGGCAGTGCTCAAAGAAAAATGATGGGTGGAAGCAGACAGGGATGTGAATTTCTTGCAGTATGGAAGTAGTTTTGTTTTTTTTTTCTTTGAAGTAGTTTGAAGAAAAAAGCATGAGGAAGAGGGAAGTAAGCAGACTAGACGTGCCGCATACAGCAGCCTAGTGACGTCAGCTGGTGTAGACACCACAGGCTATAACGTGAGCCAGGGCTAGTAGGACCAACAGGGATGAAGGTGGGACTGAGGACTTGGAGGAGGGAGGGGAAGGGAAGGAAGAGGGAATTAGAAAGCTATAGCATGTACATGTGACCAACGTGACTGTAAGCTGCGTGAACTATGAACGTATTAATAAATTAAAATTTTAAAAAAAGAATCTTCTAAAATATAAATCTTACAGTTTTGGATACCAGCCACACATTTTAAGGCTCATATCCAGTTTACTTTCTATTAATAATACATATGTCTGATGGACCAGGTAATAGCCATTCTATCATTCAATATGATAGTGACATTGTTATGTCCTCACCAAGCTATAAAACCTATTGTTTCACATATTTCCACACTGTGGGTCATATTAAGACTTATTTAAATACCATCACATACCATAATACAAAGTAGTTTATCATTATAACAAGTTTTAAATTAGAGGCTTACGTTTAGTTGTGTCATTTCTTTTCACAAAGTCAGTAATTTAACCTTTCCTTGGGGATATGCTAATTAGGGGACTTTGATCAAATTGTAACATGTCTCAGTTGATCTTTCATTGACAGATATTTTAACATGACTCGTACATAGCTGCAAGGCAATTGTGAATTTTCATTTTAGGTGCCCTCTTTTTACTTCTACAATATAAAGAGAAAGAGGATGGCTACTCTCAGGATTTTTGAATTGTATTTCTGGTTCTTGATCATGATGTGAAAACTAATTGGATCTTGCTGCTGACCTAACAGTGTAAGTTGAGGTAGTATAATGAAATAGTTAGACTTTTAAATCCTGTACTATTTATTTGGATTTTGTACTTTACATAAATTAACATGCTCAAAATGTGGGGTATTTTTGTTCTCATCCTGTAAATAAGGATGAATGCTAATATATCTTGGGTAAACCATGATTTTTTCCTAGACATTTTTTCTTGGGCAAGTTCCTTATGCTCTCAGGAATGGGAGTCATGATTATATAAAGAGGTACACAGAAAGAATGGTCTCCATATAAGAGAAAAACACTCAGGCTACAGTTTTGCCAAACAAACACCAGCCAAAACTAGTTTTTATACTAGTTCCTATATCATATTCAAGGTTCCATCCTAATACCTATAGTAAGAAAATGTCAATAGTTGGGCTCACCTGAGTAAACAATATAAAGCATTCAACTGCTGGAATGTGAGAAAATATGGCCTATTTCCACATTGCCTTGGAAACAATTTTTTAGGTTTGATGGAGAAGTGAGGATATAAATTTTTTCAGAAACAATTTAAAGTGACACTAAGGTTCAGTGAAAACAAAGCTTATAAGGGAATGCTTTCTGAAGGTCAGTTTCAGTTGTCACCATAGAAATTGCCAAGGACTGCAACATCTCTATTTGCTTAGTTGAAAGTATTAATAGATATAGTCCTAAATGCTTTTTGTCCTAATAACTCTTCCCAAATTGCATATATGTTCTCATTCAAAATAAATAAACCCAACTGAGAGTTCATTTGATCTATGTGCAGAATTCATCTTAAAATAATATATCACATATCCTCTAAAAGTCACCATTTTAATGTTATTAAAATAATAAGACATTATATTGCATTTCTATAGAAGTTAGTTTACAACAGGAGAAAAATATATCAATGTTTCTCAAAATTTTATTTGAATATTTTATTTAAATGATTTCAATTTGTTTTTTCTGATATGTATACAATTGATAGATCATGATCCTCTCTGACATTTTAACATCACTGATCCGTTCATGGCTCTGTTTTATTCTATTTTACTGTAGTTAAGTTTATCTCTATTCATTATCCATTATCTATTTAATTAATAAATGAAAAATCATTCTTAGTTTTTAAAATAAGTTTAATGTGTCAGGACAGTACACTACTTATTCCAAGTTTAACATGAAACTGTGGTACATTTATTATGTACCATGTAGTATAATATATATTTTAAGTCCAGTAACATGAAACATCATATTAGAATCAAAGGCTATTTCATTACTTTTCCATATGCATTTATATGAAAATAATGATGTCTCTTAATGCATCCAGCAGCAGCTATGTACTACTTTTTTCTCTCAATTTCCTTTGAAATGTCCACAGCCATCCCACTTCAAAATAAGAAAGATGTTTGCCAAGAAAAACTTCAAATGAAAGAAAATTGTGGTAACCTACACAAACAGAGAGTATCTGCAGACTGCTTTAAATATCTAGCTCTTGCTTTTGGAAAGAATAAGAAAATTTACATGGAATTTTACACTGTTTTTCAGTGTCAGTTCACAATACAAACAAGTGTTGCTAATTACTGTGTCTCCCATAAACTACATAACCTTTATCAGTCAAAAATTTGACTTTGGGCCTGGGGAGATGGCTTAGTAGAACAGGCGCTTCAGTGGCAAGGGCAAGGGCCTGAATTCAATCCCCATTTCTGCCAAAAACAAAATAAAAATAAATAAAAATTTGACT